AAAAGTCCTGAGCAAACCAGGATGAGTTGATCACCCTCTTATTAATCCCCGTGTAATTGTTCCATCTTTACTACCTTCTTAGTGAATTCATTTTTTCACAGATTTAACCTCCCAATTACACACATACCAGTGAATATTCTTATTCATGTTTTAACCACAGAACTTGTTGACTCCATTAATTAAAAAAAAATACCCATGTGGATCCTTGAGACCTCTAATTATTTTCAGGAATTTTTTTTAAAAAGAAATATTAAAGAAAACATAATAATGTAACTTTTTCTTTTTGACACATATAGTGTAATAGCTGGCAAACTGGGAAGCAGAGGGTTCCCTTATAAAAGTGGGTCACTGGTTACCTTTTAAATCACACAAAGAGAAACCAGAGTTGTGTTGCCTTCCTGAGGCAGTGACTCCTACAGGGAGTATTCAAGTCTTAAATCTTTGAAAATCACACTCACACAAAAAAGGCAAGGAGGTAGTGGGGGGACTCAGAAGCTGATCCAAGCAGAAGTGGCTGAAATGCTCAGCTCACCCAAGGAGAGAAAGGCTGAGAATCTCACCCAACAGCCTCTCCCAAGAAACACTTAAGGGCTGCCACTCTGGAGTGCAAGACAACAAAGGCCAAAGCTCCCAGAGTAGGAGGCTTCCTCACGCTAGCAGTGACCGCATTTTCTGCTGCAAGTAACTGAACACCTGACTCAAAACTGGCTTGATCCATGAGGAAATATATTGCCTCATAAAACTGGAGTGCACAGGTAGAACAGAGTCCACATTTGGCTGATTTGGAGGCTCAACCATCAGGGCCACATTATAACTTTCATGGTCCCTAGGCACTTTTGCCTTCATGGGCCTCTTCTTCCATAAAAAATTATATTTTATGACTGCAATGGTATAAAGACAAATATAATTCAGGCTGGATGACATTTATTTTTTCCTTCTGACTCTAAAAGAAATTAAAACTTTGTGGAGGACTCCTAAAAGTATCATGGGTCCTAGGGTCAGTTGGCCTTATGAACAATCCATCAAGACTCCAGGTTCTCTCCACGTGCTGGCCACTCACAGCATGTATCACCTTTGTGTTCAGGCTGGCTTACCTCCAGACTGTAACATGGCTCTCAGTGGCAACTGAGGCAAATGGCTCTATTGTTCCCCTTCCCTGTGAACTTGGAAGGCCTTTCCCCTAACTATGGAAAAGAAATACTTCCTTTCAGTTCTGATAGGTCCTAAGCAGGACAAAGGCCTACTTGGTAACAACATCCAGAGAATGCCATTGATGATTTCTTTTTTGTTTGTTTGTTTGTGTTTGTTTTTTTTTGTGCTGAGGAAGATTCACCCTGAGTTAATATCTGCGCCAATCTTCCCCTATTTTGTATGTGGGTCACTGCCACAGCATGGCTACCGACAACTGGTGTAGGTCCGTGCCTGGGAACCAAACCCAGGCCACCAAAATGTAACGTGCCGAACTTAACCACTAGGCATGGGGCCTGCCCCCATTGCTGATTTCATTATCCTTGGAATAGTCAGGACATAGCCTATTGTTAGGAAGAGGAATCATACCTAAATAATACTGGGTGATGTTAGGATGGAGGAATGGTCTAATATAGCCCCCCACATGATACATTCTAATATCTCAGAACAATCATTCACATGTGTTGGATATTTGCTATGAGCTTCTCACTTAGTCCACAACATTAAGAAGTAGAAAGTATTATTCTCCTCATTTTACAGAAGCAGGAACTGAGGTTTAGAGAGCTTACAAGATTTGCCCATGGTAAGATTTTTGTAAATAACACATAAAAAGGAGAAAACATAAAAGAAAACAATAATAAATAAGACTTCATCAAAATTAAAAATGTTTGCTCTCAAAAGAACATTAATAAAATGAAAAGGCAAAGCAAAGTCTGGGAGAAAATACTAAAAAAATATATATCTGACAAAGGACTTTCTGGAAGACTATATTTTTTAAAAACTCTTACAATTAATAAAATAGCAAAAAAAACAAACAATAAAGAAATGAATTAAAGATTTGAATGAGCTCTTCACAAAGGAAGCTATATTGATGGACAAGAAGCATATAAAAATGCTCAGTATCACTAGATATCACAGAAATATAAAATAAAACCGCAATGAGATGCCACTTACACACCCATCATAACAGCTAACATTTTAAATGACCAATAATACCAGGTGTTGGCAAGGATGCAGAGCAAATGGAATCTCACATATTGCTGGTAGGAATGTAAAATGGTACAGTCATTTTGGGAAACAGTTTGGCACTTTCTTATAAAATTAAATATACCCTGACCATATGACCCAGCAGTCCCACTTCTAAATATCTACCCAAAAGAAAGGAAACATATGTCTACACAAAGACTTCTACGTGAATGTCCATGACAGCTTTATTCATCAACAATCCAAATATCCATCAACAGTGAACAGATAAACTCAAATCAGGATTTATCCACACAATGGAATACTACTCAGCAACAAAAAGGAATGAACTTCTGATATACCTAACAACAAGGACACATCTCAAAAGCGTGCTGAGGGAAGGAAGCCAGACATAAAAGAGTACATACTCTCAGATTCCATTTATATGAACTTCTGGTAAGAAAAGCCTGCAGGGGAGCAAGGGTGTAAGGAGGAAGACCAAGTAGGAGGCAGTTGTACTAATCCAGATGGAAGATGGTGGTGGCTCAGATCAGAAGTGGTGGCTCATCACAAAAGAAGTGATGAGAAGTGGTCCAATTCTAGACATATTTTGAAGATGAAGCCAACAGAGTTTTCTGAAGAATTGAATGCAGCGTGTGTGAGAAAAAGAGAAATCAAGGATGATGCCATGATCTTGGACCTGAGCAAATGGAAAGAAAAAATTGCTATTGATTGAGATGGTGAAGCAGGTCGGTAGCATAGGTTGGGAGAGAGGGGGAAATCAGCAGACCTGTTCAGTTTGAAACGTCCTTTTAGGTGTACAGATGAAGATAACAAGTCAATGGCTGGATATACAGAAAGATTTCCAGGCTGGAGATAGAAATTTGCGAGTTTTAATCCACTTTCTCCAGGGAAAGGGCTGAGGAATGTAGAAAGAATTCAAAAAGAAATAGAAGAAAATGTTTGGACAGATCTTTTTATTATACAAAAGCAAAGATCCATTTTTTTAAAAAAGCTTGGAGGTCATTAATGATTGGGAAAACAAACATTTGAATTTTGGTAGTAAAAATCTTCAATACTACTGGCAAAATCCCATATACTCAAGAAGGTTCGGGGTCATGAAGCTCTTCTGATCTTGTCCAATATTGTGGCTTGCAACCAAAATGACAAGGTCTGGGCAATCCATTGCCTACCCCCAGATAAGGGGAGAAGCTTCCACCTGACTGCTCTCTCTCTCTCTTCTCGCACTGTCTACCACATTCCCTCTATAGTAAGCAGGGAAGGGAAAGGAGCTATTCCTCTCCCTCCCACCCTCTGTCTCCTTCTCTCTGTTAAAGTCTTTAACACCTTCAGTTTGCACATTGTCTCATTCATGAAATTGTATTTGGCTGTTTGCTTCTTAGAAGACATGACTGCCTTGGAAGCAAACTATTAATCTGACTTTAGAGTTGGAGACTTTAGAGATAACTGCAGTCTGTGTGGGATGACTTAAAGAAGCCAAGAAAAAAGAAATTTTTCTCTCCAGATTCCTGAAATTCCACCATTAGTGTGAAAGGTGGGAGTAAAATGCCCAACTTGGAATGACCAGTATTGGGGACTCCCCTAAGTGAACCAGTGGAGTACAAGCAAAGCAGTAAATGAGAAAAGGGGCCCATAAAAAAGGGAGGTTTGAGAGATCAAAAACAAACCCAACCTCACAATTTTGTTAGTGTGAGTTCTACTTGGCCCATTCCCAACACTTGCCATACAGTAGGTCACAAATATTTGTTAAATGAATGAATTCTCTTTTTTCTACATTTGACCTTCCCCCACTCCAAAAAAAAAAAAAAAAAAAAAAAGGACCTGAAAGAAAAGGCAAAAGAATCAGTTCTTTGAATGAGGTTAATTTACTCTCTTAGCGTTGACTTACTGGGGGAAAAAAATTAAGCGACTTCTCAGGACCCTCAGAAGCTCTCTTCGAGAGATGTTTTCCCCTCTGCCGGGCACGAGAAATTAATTGCCCGGGAGGCTGGAGCATCACCAAGGGTAATTCAAACCCCAGACATCACACGCCAAATGTGCCATCTTCGGCCTGGGGTTCCGGCGTGTCTGGGAACTGGGGGTGAGGTGCTGGCAGGGGAGGGCAGGCGGGGTAACGGAGACCGCCCTAGGAAGAGGGATGCGGCCAGAGCTGCGCAGTGCGCTCTCCCGACCGGCTTGCAGCGCTTGGCTCAGCCGTTGCGCCTCCCTCAGCTTTCTCCTCCGCCCCCCTCGCCCTCCCCCTTTCCCTCCCTTTCTCCTCCTCCTCCTGCCGCCGCGGCCGCTGCCAGACCTCGCCAGTTCAGACCCACCGGGCTGCCCTACCCTGCGCTCTCCCCTCGCTGCCCGGGCCCGGAGCGCAGCGCGGCCGCGCAGGTAGGAGCCCCCGACACGGGGGTCGCACCAGTGCGTCCAGTGCCCGCGAGACCGGCGCAGGGGAGTAAGTGGGGTGACCTGAGGGGTGCAGTGTAGAGAACTACCTCAGATTGTGCAGGATCTCATAGGCAAAAAGGGAGGTAGAGGTGTGCAGTCTCGGAATGCGATCTGTCAGCATGTGCGAGTACCCGGGTGACATCTGTTTGGATGGGCATGTGTGTGCGCGCCGACAATCACCCGACCGGGCTTTGCCCATAAACGAGGTTTTGAAAGTTTCAGGGGGCCAATGTGCGAGATTTAAGCCACACCTGAATTCCACAGGAGCTGGTTAGAAGCTGCAGCGCTGAGTAGCTCCTGGGGACTGCCGCCTGTTAACTGTTCAGGAAGGGGACCTCACCTCCCTGGGGGCGCCAGGCCGGCCGCCCCGAAACTGGTACCTCAGGTTGCGGTATGGTCCCCTGGTTCCGCTCTTAGGCAGCCGCGATCCTGAAGGTAGCAGGCGAGGACCGAGACACTGATAGGTACAAGGGAATCAGACGCTTTGGGCGACTGGCCCCACACAACCTGGAGCTTTTAAACAAAGCTGCGCGCAGAGAACCGCGTGGAAGTGCCACTTTGAGACTTTGTGCTGGGAAATGTGAGAAGGAGCTCCGAAGGGCAGGTATTCTACTAGGGGAGGAGATTGCTCCCCGAGTTTTGTTTTGGTGTTTTGTTTAAAAAAAAAAAAAAGTTTGAAGCCAAGGTAATTCATATTGGTTCACAGGTATTTCTGCTGAGTTGTGCAACGAACTTCCCTAGCATATAGGGAAAGACTTAACGTTCAAGGGAATATGAGATTTGCTGCCCCGCCTCCACCCTCGCAAAAAAAAAAAAGCACCATCTCCTTTGAAATTAATTGCCCCCTATTTTTTCTCTTCCACTCCCTTTCTGGAGTCTGTTGTGTAGATGCAGTATAAAACGCACGCTGTACATCCCTTGTATATATTCAGCGGAGCCGGATGGACTAAAGTGAAATGTAATCCTGCAGCCGTTTTTTCGTGCCTCCTTTGCCCACAGGAAGGTTGAGGAGGGGGAGGGGAGGGGAGATGAGAAAGTAGACTGGAAGTTGGATATGATGGAGCCTCAGCCTCCCCCGCACTCCCTTCCTTGCTTGTTACTTCACGGCTAAGGTTTTATTTCCCCCGCAGCAGATAATAAGCATTGGTTTGTGTTCTGTTTTCTTAGAGGTTCAAGATGTTGAAAGCCCTTTTCCTAACTATGCTGACTCTGGCGCTGGTCAAGTCACAGGACACCGAAGAAACCATCACGTACACGGTAAGGGGCGATGGAATTTGAGATAAGTGCGGTTCAGCGGGATTCCGCGACACAAGGCAGACTTTATCCACTCCTGCCAGTGTATGCGGGCTGTACTCTGTGGGGGGTAATAAATTAAACAACGTTTTAGCATGGCTCACGTTTAAGATTTGTTGTAAAGTGCCAGTGGTCCTTTCAGAAGTTCATTTAGATCATTAATTGAGATAGGGACCAAAATGTCCCTTGCACAAGTGGGATTTGTGCAAGGCCAAAAAAGGGAACCCTTTTAAAACAAAACCCAAAGTAAGCTACATGTTTCCAACACGTTCAATAAATTAATGGGTATAAAAAGTTGGAAAACCTGGATTCCTATATACATGCAGATGAAACCAAAACTTGCAGAATAAGACTCAAATCAAGTAAGAAAGTTAAACATCAGAAAAGCACATTGCCTCATTTGTGCATGTGTCTTGTGTTCTCATGTAAGTGGCTTTTATTGACTTTATAAAGGCTATATATTCATTTATAGTATAACTGATAACTCATAAATGCCTTTCAGATAGACATTCTGTGTTACCAAAACGTGGTATTTGCTAAAATGGTTTTAAAATGCACTTTTTAAATTTGGTTTTACAAATAAGTATATCTGATATTTTCTAATTAGCATATCTGACATTTCCAAGTAATAATCGATTAATTAGTTAATTTCATGGGTATAACCAATGTTTAAAAACTAGTGAAAGTATCCTCTGGCCCCTCCCCCTGCCAGGTGTGGATGTGGTGAGGACAGAGGGCAGTACTCACCTCACTTCTGGTGAGTTTGTCTGCACCTCTATTTTGTGTTTTCTAGTCTTTAATCAATGTGAGGCAAATGACATTTGTCCTGGATCAGAATATGAAAAACATATTTTTCTACTTGTTCCCAATTTAAAATTAAGCAATTTACTCAAAAGAATGTGAAAAAATTTTGAAAATAAAACTCAAAAGTGAGCTTATGTCAATTACTGATAATAAACATTATCTCACTTTTTGGTGCCATATTATCCCTAGAATGCTAGTATTCATCTGGCACATGTTCTTTGTTGTTGTTCAGATCAACTGTAAATCAAACAATGTTTAATATAAATATTTTGTTAACTTAATGGTAAATCTAGTTGCTTCCTCTGCTGAAGATAAATAAAGCAAGAGAAATGAATACATGTGTTGTTTATCTTCAAACGAAAATGTTTTGTTATTCAGGCTAAACTTACTACTTTCTTAGGGAGCTAAAATTAAATTAGCTACCCACTTTTGTGTTCATCTAATAAAAGACTTTATTGCTTTTACAATTGCTTATCTTATACCCCCTTCCATTTGCTCATCACCTAAAGCTTATTCCTCTTTAGCAGAGAAAGTTCCCTGTGGATTCAACACTATAGTTTTAAGACCACAAACTAGGGTTCACTATTATTATAACATATTTCTCAGATATGGCACCCTTTTTGTGCTAAGATTAGGTCTATTCTCTTTTGAATTCTGTATGCCTATTAATTCATGGTTAAAGGACAAGATGTAACTATTTTTTGAGTACTCCACTGTGGAGAGACTATCTCCTTTTAGCCTCACAGTAAAGTATGAGGTCAGTGACATCATCTTCCTTCTGCTGACAGTAGAACTGAAGATCAGAGAGAGTAGCTAACTTGCTAAAGGCTACACAGCCAGCAAGTGGTGAAGCTAAATTCAGTCTAGACTTGTTTGATAGTAGATTCATATTATATGTACTGGAACTAAATACCTAAAACAAACTGCAAGTCTTCTCTATTTAGCATAGGGACTATTCACATGAACTGTTATTTTGCTTGGCTTGAAAGATACTTTTCAGAAGGATGGGCTTATATCCACAAGATAGCCTTATATTCCCCTTCCATATTAAAGATGGGGTCCATTAAGCTATTTACTTGCCGAGTATCTGCCATGTGCAAAAGCAATTCTCACCACTATCAAAAGAATTTGTTTATTTGTTTAAGAAAATTCAGATCTTAACCTCAGGGAATTTACCCTGGGAAAATGGTGTTGAAAACTACAAAGTTCCTAAGCAAATACAAATATTATTATTATACAAATTATAATAAAGTTGCTAAAGAAATAGAAAAGTAAGGGGGTAATTAATGTCAATACTGGCATGTTGGAGGAGGTAGAACCTTGTGCTGGTTCTTGAAGGAAGTGATAACTTTGGATTAATCTGGAAAGTCTGAAGAGGAACCTGAATCAGAGAAAGTGGCATAATCACAGGCAAAAGTAAAAACAACCAAGTCAAGTCCAGGAGGCGACAAGTTCAGATGGGCTGGAGTTGGGTAGTGGGGAGAACCTAGAGATGATAATAATGGGAGATGAGAGGTCTGCAGGCTGCTGTGAGTGCTTAGATGGAGGAACAACATAACCAAGAGAGCAAGAAAGATTGTCATGGAGGCTGTGTGCAGCATGCACAGATATGGACCAGCTAAGGAGCCTTGCGTACTCATGAGGCCAGAAAGTCCTTACACCAATGTGGTAGATACAGAAATGGATACAAAGTCAGCAGAACTTGAAGGAAAATAATTGGAAAAGTTGATGTTAAAGTTGTAATCCTGGGTCTTAAGAAAAGTGGTAGTGCCTTGGGCAGTGTTGGGGAAACTAGAAAGAATTAATTTGGGAGATAAAGTGAGTTTAGTTCCCCCCCAAGTCTAAGATATCAGTAAAATATCTAAACTGATCTCTATCTCCATTCAGCTATTCACTTGCCAAGCATCTGTTGTGTACAAAAGCAACTCTTGGGTCTAGTAAAAGAACTTAAGTTCATTTGTTTGTTTACTCTACTTTTGCTCAATCCTTCCTGAAGCATCTTCCTCAACTCTGCATCTGATCAAATGTTTTCTTGAGCTTAAAAATTCCTCAGGGTCTCTTATCATTTAAAGCAGCACTTCTCAAGAAGTAACCCGTAGATGACCTGTATCAGAATCACGTGGGATGCTTGTTAGGCATTCAGATTGCAGGCCTCCTCCCCAGACCTACAGAATCAGATCTTTTGGGTGGGCTCAGGAGTCTGTATTTTAATAAGCACCTGAGGTGATTCTTAAGCATAATAAAGTTTGAGATTCACTCATCCTCAAAGTAGAATTCAGTTCCTGCTTGTCCCAAAGAAAGGCTTCCTAGATTTGGCCCTTCCTACCTTTCTAACCTCAACCCCACCCACCCAGGAGTACTTGCGGCCCCTTCCTTCTTTAACGGTTTTGTGCCTTTGATCACGTGATCCCTCATCCTAGAGTTCCAACATCTGACTAGAAAGTCCTGTAAGGCCCAATTCACTTGTGACCTCCCCCATAAAGCCTTCCTTTCCATCCTGCCACACCCACCCACAGCCTCAGGCAGAGCCCATCACTCTTTCCACATGCATACTTATATCAGGGCACCTGACATCTTGCTCCAACTTATCTACCTGTCTGACTCCTCTTCTGGTCTGTGAGCTGCTTGAGGACAGGGACAAGGTCTTCACATCTTTGCATCCCAAGGGACTAGGATGCTGTCTGGTATGAGAAGGTACTCGATAGATGGATAGATGGTTTGCTCAGCAAGTGAACTAGGGAGGAGCTGTAGGAACTGAAGCTAGAAGGCAGGCCAGGGTGTGAGAGGGAGGCTGAGCATTCAGCTGAATAGGAATGATGAGGAAAGCTAGGTGCTGGGATGCTCTAAGAAAATTTGGAGGGGCCTGCCCGGTGGCGCAGCAGTTAAGTGCGCGCATTCCGCTTCGTCAGCCTGGGGTTCGCCGGTTCGGATCTCAGGTGCGGACATGGCACTGCTTGGCAAGCCGTGCTGTGGCAGGCATCCCACATGTAAAGTAGAGGAAGATGGGCACGGATTTAGCTCAGGGCCAGTCTTCCTGAGCAAAAAGAGGAGGATTGGCAGCAGATGTTAGCTCAGGGCTAATCTTCCTAAAAATAGAGTTGTTGATTTAAAAAAAGAAAGAAAGAAAGAAAAAATTTAGAGAGAAAGACAAGAGTCAAGGGCTGAAAAAAAGAACTCTATTGAATTTTTTTTTTTTTTTGGTAAAATTTACAATGTGGAAGAAGGAGCAAAAAAAGAGTAGTCAGAGAGATAGGAGATTAACATCAAGACAGAGAGAAAGGAATTCCAAGAAGATGGTTATGGGCCGCTGTACCAAACACAACAGAAGAGTTGAGGCAGCTGATGATTGAGAAGGGTCCCCTGAAGTAGTCCAATGCACAAATTTATCTTAAAAAAAGAAAAGCTAGAGACTGTTAAACTACCCATCTCATCATCTATCAAGGACTCCAGCACAAGTATTGTTGCCACATGTGTGAAGCTTTTAGAGGGACTTCTTAGGGAATGAATACTCAATTAACTGTCTCCTGGCCCCATCTTGATGTTCTCTTCACAGCAATGCACAGATGGATATGAGTGGGATCCTGTAAGACAGCAGTGCAAAGGTGAGCCAACTTCAAAGACTTCCCATCTGAACATAGCTTTCTGTCCCCACCTCATGTGTCATTCTTCATGTCCTGTTTATATTATACCAAAAAGGCATAAGCATATATTTACATGTTCAGTTTCCTCTCTAAGAAGATTCCTGACTTATTTTATTACTGACCACAGATATTGATGAATGTGACATTGTCCCAGACGCTTGCAAAGGTGGAATGAAATGTGTCAACCACTATGGAGGATACCTCTGCCTTCCTAAAACAGCCCAGATTATTGTCAATAATGAACAGCCTCAGCAAGAAACACCAGCAGCCGAAGCTGTAGGTGCAGCTGCAAATGCAGCCGCAGCCTCGGGTGCAACCCCTGGGAGTGTAGCAGCCAGTGGCATGGCAGCCACTGGAGTGATGCCTGGGGGTGGTTTTGTTGCCAGTGCTGCTGCTGAAGTGCAGACTGGCCGAAATAACTTTGTCATCCGGCGGAACCCAGCTGACCTTCAGCGCATTCCCTCCAACCCTTCTCACCGGATCCAGTGTGCAACAGGCTATGAGCAGAGTGAGCATAATGTGTGCCAAGGTAAGCATGACTTACAATACTAACAAGAAAGTTCTTGCCCAAGTGCACATCTTAGTGAGAATGATAGCAACTCACATTTATATAGAGCTTCCCACTCACCAGACATCGTGCTAAGTGCTTTGCCTGCATTATCATATTTAATTATCACAATAATCCTAAAAGGTAGTTGCTGCTGGTATTATCATTTTACAAATGAGGAAACCTTGGCTCAGAGAGGTCATCAGTGGTTCTCAACCTTAACTGCGCATATTTAGAGTCACTTGGGAGCCTTTAAAACTTCTCCATGTCCAAGCCACACCCCAGCCCAATTAAATAACAGTCTCTAAGGGTGGGTTCCCAGGCATCAGTATTTTTTTAAAGCTCCCCGTGTGGTTCTAGCGTGCAGCCAAGTTTGAGAACCAGAGGTCACAGAGGTGGTGAGTGTGGAGTCAGCCTTCAGACCCAGGCAGGTGGGGCCAAAGTCACAGCTGTCAGAAGGAGCAGTCAGGTTCTTCATTTGGAATTTGAAATTGTGCTGTCAAGCTACTCCATAAATATCCCCCTTTGGATTCTCAAGCTTCCTTTTCATTGAACTTGTCATTGACTTATTTTCCTCAGTGAGGAATAAAAAAATAGGACTTCTGCTTCTCATTACCTTTGAGGGAGTCTCCTCCGCTCACATTTATCTCTCTTTTAAGCTCCCATTTGAGCACATTTCGCTTATATCACTTGCACTGTGGCACCCTCTGCCTGGGTTTTTCTGTTTATTTTCACAAAGAGTACACATCACTGTGTATTCTAGAAACAGCTGTAGACTCATGTTAGCAAAGTGATAAGAATCTAGGGCTTAGAAGACGCGTACGATATTAACTAAATGGACTGTCCTAAGGGATTTTGTTTCCCTTTTCCTACTTAGCAAACACTTTCAGATTTGCCTGGTATGGAGATTGTGTTACCGAAATGGGCCACAAGAGCCCCAGACTCCTTTTTCACTGCCAGGGGTTGACTGGGTAGATCCCATATTACACCATAAGTGTCTGGTACACAATGGCCAATGGAAAGAACCCAGGAATTCTTACTTTCTACCTGCCCATGAATGAGGAAGAGAGAATCTTCCCCTCTCAACACTGAGGGGTTCAATGAGGATCACTTGGCTCCTGCATTTAGTGAAAGAAGCATCTTCAGGTCCCCTGAGATGCTTATTCACCAGTGTTGAGTTTTATCTTCTGTATAAAAGATAGGAGATTTTAAGTGGCTTATAAATGAAGTCAGGAAACCTATCATGCTCTGAGTTTTATGATTTTATATTTTCCGTCCAAATTTTAAGTACCCCACATCAAGAGCTATCCCATGCCGGAATGGTGTCACTTTTCAGAGGGTGCATCATATTAGCATCTGTTTTCTGTTACTGTCATGAGTCAGAATTCCAATATGGATGATAAATGCTTCAGCATCTGCTTGATATTCCAATATTTAACTTAAGGGTTATGTTAAGGAGATAACCTCCTGAGGTTATTTTATATGCATGTATTTGAGTGAATATTGATAAAAAAATCTTGAGTTTATTTAAGATATTGACTTTAATTGTGTTATTTAAATATATAATTAGATTGGATAGATTGGAAGCTTTTGTGGTACTTTTCCTGAAACTGAAAAGTTTTGCTGAAATTTTTTTAAGTATTGACTTTTATGTGCTGAATTATTTTTCACATTTCAGATGTATATTTTAATAATACTTAGGAGAAAAGATGCAGATAAATAAGTAGGTCATTTCCCAAAGTAGTTTATAGTCCATCATTGACTATAATGTCCATCAATAGTGGTTGAATTCAAGAACAATGCCTAGAACTGAATGAAGTTCTAGAATAAAACATATTCAGGACTTACAATACACATTAGTTACAGCAGGAACTATAATAAAAATGAAATCTTAATTAATTTTTCTTAAAAAGATTTAGACTACCTTACAAAGAAAGTTACTTTTCACATATTAAAACATTTACAATTCTTACTTCTTTGGGAATTTTTTTTAGTTATAAGCTAAAACTATTAAATGCCTTGCTTATGGTAGATGCTAAATACATACTTACTGATTGTTTGCACACAGGGTATTTCCAACCCAAACTGTTCTGTATAATTCAACCAATTTCTAAAATTTGGGATTGGGGGTCTGTATCATTGAAAACAGGGTTAAAAGTTTTTTGGATGACTTAAGGCTTAAGTTGGATTTCTTCCCACCTCCCAATTTTGCAAAGTGCCCATAAATGTGGATTTACTTAATTGTTGATAAAAGGGGGTTATTTCATATGATAACAACAGAATAATCTGTCTAGGGAATCTGACTAACATAAGTCGAGTCACACTTGTGCCCGTTTATTATTGAGCTAATCAAACATGCAGTCCAGCTTCTTCTAATTGCCTGCAGATGTATGACATTCTCATTCCAGGCCAGCAGCACAAAATAATGTTTTATAACCAATATGAAAGTGTAGGGACCTCCGTTTAAAACAATAATGTGCTCCAAGGACCTATATTTCTGACATCATTGTGGAGTTTCAGGAGCCTTCTGTTTTAATAAAGATCTCCACTCCCTTTTAAATGTTACGTACTTGTCCAATAATCCAAACACATTTACCATGGTTGCTGGATCGAAATAAATGAATGCCTGCGGATGAGTCATATTTGTATTAAAATTATTTCTTTTTTCCACATATATTTTTGAACAGGTACAGTTTATCATTACATAACCTAAAGCTGAGGACATTTTTTATGTAATGGCTGAATCTGTACTGTGTTTCAGTGTTAAAGCCAACTGTGCCTTTGAATGCACTATTACCAGTCACAGATGGCACCTAATGATTTAATACCACTAGATATTTTTTAATATATTCTATTTTATAAATATATATTTTAACCAGTTGTCTGTGTTTTAACATTTAGTGAAAGCATGATCCTTTTCATGTATTTGTCCAGAGTTTTTTAATTTTGTGCAAATACAAGGGATTTAAAATGCAACATAACATCCAAGTATCAGTTCACAGTCAGCAGGTTTTTTTCAGGTAATTTTTGCAACTGAGGCTGCTGCTGGGGGAGCCATTTGCACTGAGAATTTCAAATGTCAGGTGCCATCCTTGGCAGCTATAAAATTACATGAAGACCACTTTGGTGTAACATACCTGGAGTTATGTATAAATAAAGTTTCAGAAATTAATTGTTTCTCAGTGAGATATCATCTACCTCAAAGACAAAGGATATTCATCTGCTCCAAAAAGAAGTTGGATGAATGGGGCATGTTTTATATGTAACCTATTAATGGCTTACTTTATTTTTCTACATCTTTATTGCATAGTCTCTATGTAATCTTCCTCAAAGGAGATGGAGTTAGAAATCACTAATTCAAGTTGAGAAAGGAATTTTTTATCATATATAACTTTCTAATAGCCCCATCCTTATAGGAAAAAAAATCATTTGGCAACTAGCAAGTAAGAGAAAGCATCAAATGTGCAATTTGAAGGAATTTGTTCACTTCATTGAACTTTCAAAAAACTCAACATAGGGTATTTTGTATAGCTGGTAATTAAGCCAAGACTAAACTCAGTCACGACTTACAGGTATTATTTCTAACTTGCTAAAGAAATTACACCATCAAAAAATGAATTCAGTACAAATGCCTAATGAAGCTGATTATGGAGCCAAATCCACAGTGCAGTACCTGGCTTCTATTCCATAAGGTGTAACTGAGAGATGTGAAACATAGCCTAGGATTTCCAACCATCCCTGTCTATCTGAGACTGTCCTAGTTTTAAAACTGAAAGTCCCACATCCCTGGAAACGCCTGAGTCTTGGGCAAATGGGATGGTTGATCACCGTAGCACACACCCAATAACCAAATCTCCTGCACCTCACAGCCAAGAGTGAGAAAGTCCCAATGTTGGAGCCACTTTTTCAGGTTAAGGCATTGTTTTTCCAGTGAGACTGTTTTTTCCTGTTTGTTTTGAACTTTCAAAAACCAGGCTTCATTGATTTGTTTATATTTGGACGGAGCCTTTCTTTGCAGTTGTCAGGGTCTCACTTGCCAGTTTGTCATAGAGCTGGTTTCTACATTGTTCTAGATCAAATGTGTAGGATATCTGGACATTAGCACCTACATAATAAGATACATGTCATACTATAGTTAGCTCATCTTTCCACATTTCTGCTGGGAAAAATTTTACCACACAGCCAAATTAAATACAAACCATGTTTCAACTATAAAGCTTTGTTGCCAAAATTTTTATTTTTTTTTCTTTTCAGCTGTATTTTCAATGATTTGATTTGATTTTTATCATTATTACCCATGATGCAGGAGCAAATAAAAAGCTAAAACGAAAAAAAAAATCCTTTTATAAAGCCTAAAGGAACAAAAAAACCATACCCAGGGTTAAAAAGCTCTACAGTCTTGGGGACCATCTATTATCTTCTGCACATTTCTTTATAAACATAAGGATAACTAAAATACTATTTTGAAAAGGAAAGAAGTTATTATTTATAAATCTACTTAAAAAAAGAAACTCGAACTAACATGTACAGATTCTCAGATGCCAGGGACGTCTTTCTTTGACTTCTTTCATTTGAAACTTAAATGATCTCATATTCTAAAGAGGATTTATAAATTATAGTGTAATAAGTAGCTTAGCATAACTGGCATTGTCATTACTAAACAGCTTTCAAACACTACCCTTTTGTAGATCCTCACTAATGTCATTAAGGTCTCTGGTTGCTTCAGTTAGTTTTGTGAGGAAATGTCTAATTTTTTGCATGTAATTATATAGCCCGTGAAGAGCTTTGATCTCAGAAAATAGATATTTTGCAAAAGGAAGACTGTAATTGAGTAAATTATGATATTAACAGAAAAGAATACTTCCAGCAGAAAGTAAAATGAGTATTTAGCCTGCTTACAGTTTTTCATTGTTTTCAGTTGTTAATTACCTTTGAGTATTTGAAAATTCTCAATAGGCATACAGATGGACAGGAGTTGAGTT